TMRACCTTGGCAAAAGTCTTTGGCTTGAAAGTTCTTCCTGTACAGGTCAAACAAGCCTTATATACATCGTTTGCTGTTGTCTTATTGGTCAATTTTCTCGGAAGTGACAGCTGTCACGTACAAGTAGTAATATTAAGAGTTTAAGCATCACGTTTACGGCCAAACGGCTAACACTAGAGCTGAACCAATGACCCAAAGATTTTCGTGCCTGATCTTGTGCTTTTGGTATTCATTTAAGGAACGACTTTTCAAGATTATGGCAACCCCGAAATAACCCTCTCTCGCATCGAAACGGGTCGTAACGTTGAACCCCCAAAAAGCATGTCACGGATCGTAACGTTGAACCCCCAAAAAGCATGTCACGTGATCTTTTCTGTCGTTTGCCGTAAACGGCATGCTTAACCTCTTTATTTTGATATGTTAGTCACGAATTACGACAATAGCTTGTCATTTTCGATCTGTTTATACCTGTCAGTAATCATATTGACCTTAATGTGCGTTATGATCACAGAGATGTTTAATATTCAAAACTCCAGGAAATCGAAACAACGGAACACGTGGATCGGGCTACATCAACCTACTGATACATCTGGTTTTTGATTGGAGAAGAAACTATACATATCGAGAAAGCTTTTCAACCTGTGAAAAACAGCTAAAACATATCCAGCAAACCATTTTTTTCCAACTTTTTAAACAATTATATCAATATTTTCAACTTTAGCAACATATAGTATTTTAATATTTAAAGATATTTAGCCAATAAGCAGTGTGGCTTTCAACTTGAATGTTGATTTCCGAAAATGATRCTGAGCGCGTTTCGCATTCTTCAGGGAGTTTACAAATCTGTACCATTGTCATAACAAACTATAGCTCTATATCCTGTAGGACGCACATGCTGATAATGATGTAAAACAGTGACAGGAAAATGTGATGTTAAAGTGATTCAGGGGCTGCAGTTTTAGATCTCGACTTCACAATGTTCATGATTCACTTGTTCTCTGTACTTCCTGCACGTACAAGATGCTGATAGTTTGCGATCGCCAGGTTTGTCTACTGCTGAGGTGGCGAAAGTTTTCCAATTCTCTACAGCTCGAAATCTAATACACTGCATGAATAGCCTAAAAGTATATTGAATCAATGCAACGTCTTTTACGCAACCTGGATTTCGTTATGCGTCTTGAATACTCGGGAGTTCACTGAAGCGAAAAACAATTCAACACAAACAATAATAATTTATTTACAAGACTACACAGCTTATATACAAATTCACGCCTTCTACAATCGTCTTGAACAGGATAAAACCAAAGCAATCAGGCTGATTGTGATGATGGCTGTATCGGCGGTATTGGATCTGACATGTTTAATGGTCTTATAACTGGCGATGACCTAGGAATGGCTTCGACTGTGCCTCGCGCTGAGGGCGTGGCATCTAATGGCAATAACTGTGCTGGTGAAATTCGTCTGTCAATTTTTCGAGGAACCTGCAGAGAAATGATAACATGCATTCAATCAATGCGATTCGTCAGCTGGTTTCTTTCCCTTACTCACAGGTATTTTCTCTCCAAGTACGTTCTTTCCTTGATAAAACAATCATGTCGAGGTTAACAGAGAGATACAGGTTTTATCAGTAATTAATGTACCCCAGTARAATATAGAGCATTTTTATGTAGTTCGCATACCTGAATAGGGCCTCGTCGGACAACGTCCCCTTCACGCACTACAACACCAGCACTGATATCCATAGAATCAACCTGAAAATATCACGACAAAATGAATGAAAASAGAATTGTACRGCAATGATGCGAGACGCAGTGAAATAACAGGCAATATGAAGACAATGYACTAWTATCCCATAGATTTGAAAGATSCATGTTCGTRTTTYYATTACAGAAACAACAACAGCATGTAAAAATGWCACRCRTAYAAACGTACCAATCAAACAAACATAAAAACACTACATWTGCTAGYATTTAGTTTGATTTTATTTCATGGTTTTTCTGCATTTGCTCTAACATCAATGCACATATATTACAACAAAGTGATTGACAATGAACTCACATTATTAACAATAATAATATTAAGATAATGATGCGATGATAAGCAAACAATGATAAATGATTTTATTTCAGAACTACTAGGCCATACCAGTGGTGGTGGCAAGGGTGATACTGGACCATGTACCATCATGCTKTCTTTGTTACTTCTACCATCAAATCCTTTACCAGACACAGTATTCCTGGAATCTCTGGTACCAGTTTTATGCTTGTGACTCTTCAYGTTTGAATCCGTTGAAGCCGGGTCGACAACAGTAAACTTTGTGCGCACTCTAAAAATTAGAATATTAATTAAAGAAGTTTTTGCAATATCTTACACTTAGCCTTCGTATTTCTTGACCAGGTCCGTCGACAAACATAAGGATTAACGGATATCTTCACTTAGCTCAAGTTCGAAGTGATTCAAACATTGAGCTTGCAAAAGACACATTCTTCACAATCAATAGATAATTGTCAAGTATTTTTCTTTGTAAGTAGTTATTTCTCTACTAGATGGTTTTTGAGATTTTCAATAATATTGCAGGCGAACATTTGAAAATGAGGTATTTTAGGGCAAAAAGTAAGCAAGCTTCTGAAAATCCTCGACTTCATGCGTGCGTCTGTGATATTTTTAAAGTGTATCCCAGAAATCCTCTATTCACAGTGATCATAATCACTTTTAAAAATAACACAGGGAACCCATGAAAGAAAYGTGTGTCTAGCTGCATCCCATAATGTTATCAATGTACCTATAAGAGGGAAGTTTTTCTGGATTCAATTTGATGACAGCTGCAACATTWCCCCATTCATCATACACAACATCTTTGTTACCAGGAGGTCTGCCTTGCTGTGTCTATAACAATAAGGATATAAAACATTATACAATGTACTGCTGTAGGGACTCCTTATGGGTAATAATCTGATATGCTCGTCTTTAATAAGGAAACAGTTGTGTAAAAAGATAAATTCAACACTGTAAAAGAACAGGTGAAACACCCAAGGATTGACTACTAATTTCACCTATTTTTATGGTGTCAAATTTATCTTTTTACTAACTGTTTCTTTAGAAACACCGACACAGCTCACACTAGTTTACCACTAGTCTCCACTCTTTTAAGGAAATAAATGTTTATGTGTTGTTTATGTAAATTAGTTATTCTATTAAAATAACCAAACTAGAATCAATCAATTTATCAAGAGATAGCTGTCTCTCATGATCAATCTGTAATTCAAATAGCATGCATAGTTGTAGATAATTCCCCTCTTTTTGAGATAGGAAATTTCTTCTTTGTTATCTTCTTTGTTTATAAGTTAATGTTTTAATCAGTGCGATTATTCACCTACCTTGTCATTTTGATGTTTTAAATATAGAAAACAATTATGATTTTACAATTATGAATTTTACAGTTGTGAATTTTTGAAATTAATTTTAGGCTACCTTTAAGTTCATGTTGTTATTGTTGTACAAGCTGCTAACACATCCACTAAAACTCCTTTGGATATCTGACCAATCATCTTTAGTTGTCAAACTTGCTGTGCTGGACTTTAAGCAACATGCTCGTTACATTGACAGTACCACAGGGAGCCAAGTGTTACATTGACAGTACCACAGGGAGCCCAGTGTTACACTGACAGTACCACAGGGAGCCCAGTTATGTGGGCAAATATTAATGCACTTTATAATAAACTAATAATTAATAAATCAAGCATTTTTTTATTGATTTAAATGTAAATGTTTATGCTCATTGTTAAGTTTGATTTGGTGGGTGAAGGCATCAGTGATTCAGTGCAGTTTATTTCTCAATGTTAATCCTGACCAATGACTTGGAGTACATATTAAAGGGACACTGTCAATGGATGACATGCGCAGTAACAGTCTCACCTCTAACGGACTTTGAAAGTATTACCTTCGAGGAAAATCATTTTGTGGTGCTTCTGACACACTTTGGAATATTCTAGATCTGTTTACATTTACGAGCTGATTTATGATGCGCCAATTTGGAGTCATAAACTTGAAAACATTAGCCTAATGTTTTCAAGTTTACTCTCGCATGCATGCCATTGACAGTGTCCCTTTATATAATCAGTCAAGTTTACCAAGTGGTATCTCAAGAATGTGCAGCAATGTAATTTAGACAATTTAGGCTGCAGGAGAGCTTGCTTCATACGATTGTTGTGCTCTTCTTCACTATTGTGAGATTTGAGTTTAGCAATACATAATAATTCATTCTAGTTCATAATTTCTAGGCTGTAATTTTGTGGTGTAACCAAACTGTCAACAAACCTTTAATATTGATGAGGAAGATGACAAAAGTGTCATTCCTTTTTCATTTAGTGTTGGGACAGCATCCCCTCTACTGTTATACTGACTGTCCATGATACGAACATCTGTTACTGAYGTTAGATCAATGCCAGAAAAAGCAGGCAGTTTGCCTTTGTGTTTCTTGAAAGGACCACGTCTTTTTGGCTTAGTAGATTGCTATAGGCAGAAAAGGATATGAAATACAGTAAYGAGCAACATAGCTTATTTCTCAGCTGCTATAACAACATTTTGATAAATTCTATATTTAATACTAATTAAGTTGTATCATTAATAATCATTCTATAATATCATGCTTACCTTCTTTTCTGGTGGTTTTGGTTGTATGTTTGGTTTTGTTTTAGGTGATGGCTGGACAGGACTAGGTATAGTTAGGGGGGTTTCTGGTATTTCTATATTTTCAAAGGGTGGTTCAGGAGCCCTGCAAGAGAATTTCCTGATAAGGGAATGAATAAACCATTGGGGTTAGGAATGGATATGTAAATGAATTTAGTAAATACCGGTAGAATGGATGAATGAATGAAAGGAAAAATGAATGAATGAACAAACAATTGTTTTATTGTCATGAATTGATGGATAAAATAGTTTCATGAATGAAAAAATGGATGAAAGAACAAAGAGATGAATGAATGGATGAATGATTAAATGAAAGAGGAAGCACAGTRGAATCAAACAATAGGAAAAGATGATATTTTACTGACTCTGGTCTGTCTTCTCCAATACAGCTGTCTTCACTGTTTGCCTCTGAACTCACAGAAGCWGCAGAGTTTTCAGTACTAATTGGTCTTGGCATCATGACTGGCACTGATCCTTGCGCCCAGGAATCKGTCACTGGGGCAATTGGCTCTGAAAAAATAATGATTGACAGGCTCACTACACAGTCTGTCTTATGGTTCCACTTTGTTTTCATATCAAATATATGCAGAACATTTTCTCAGATCTGATAGAAGAACTTACCATCCTCTTCCAGCCAYGTGGGATCAATAGATGGATTATCTTCTCCACTGTCRCACGCAAGAAACTGCCACTACAAAGAAATATTTAAGAAATACTTTTTAAACAATCAATATGTAGAATCTTCCAAGAAATATTTGATTCTTCAAACCTCAATGATGTCCAGCAAGACTTGTCTGGCTTCCTGGACTGTGTATGGTAGCGTCTGACTWGCTATGTACTTGTCATGAAGGATGTCCATGGTGGACTGAACAATATCTTGAACAATCTCAWAAACAAACTCTTCTCCATCTTCAACATCGAGCATTTGATTCCTAACACACAGATATTCAAAAAACTCAATGGTGAAGCTATGTTCAATATTTCTAAGTTTACAAATGACTTGACAAAAAGTTAAGCTTCCATCATATTGGCAGAAAATATTTCGCATCAGCTGACAACTGCACAGATATTAATTTATTAGATTTCGAGGAAATARCATCGAAATATCGGTAAAATACTTACCAGTCAGCTTCCGTGAATCTTCCAGGTACAATATCATTGCTAACMGGAGGTGGAGGGGCAGATTGRGCTGGGGTYTTTGTCTTTTCTTGACGTGATTTACTCATGCTTGGCGTAGAAATTTAGTCGTTTTGAAAATTGTGCTTTTACTACATCGTTAAACCACAAGAACAGGTCAGGACCAGTACTATTAGCGAGTTTCTAAGTTCAAAAATCTTCTAAGAGCAACTACAAATGTGTTTTAACTCTGAAAATTATGAAAAACGATAAGAAAGTTCGAGTTTTCATGAGAAAATTGCCATCAAAAAGAAAACAAAATGGCGGATGGTTTACTGAAATCTTGTTGCTAGGCATCTCTAGGCATCTCTCATACCCAGTCTCCAACAGCCACAGGGATCCCATTTCATAAATAATGGGCAACGCGACGTCATCATTCTTGTGCAACAGTGTACAGTTGTAGTTTTTGCACTTTTTCGCCTTTTTCGTGTCCACTGAATCAGAATCAGTCTGGTCGTTCTACAAAGAAACGTCAAAACAAAAACAACAACAACAACAAAAAAAAGAGCTAAGAGAGAAAAAAGAGACAAGGCAGGCTAGGCAAACGAAGACCGACCACTGCCATCATTGTCAATCATGCTTGCTGTAGAAATGAAATGGCATCGCAACACATTTTCTATTTATATGTAGATATTTCTAACTTTGCCACGCATCTTTAAATGAACGCACTAAAATAAAAGGGAATACGTAAAGGAATAGCTAATGACCATTTCAGTACGGGTTTTAACATCAAGTGAGTATAAAGCAATCATGTGGAACTATTAAGTTAATGCGGAACTATTAAGAATTACACGCGAAAAATTTTTTTATACAACAAAGTGACATCATCCTCATTCAGAAGGAAAAAGCAGCTCAGCTTTTCTCATGAAGATCCTGTCGGCAATCATCAAAGGACAATGCGTAGCGGATGCAGCTAGCAATGACCATACAAGGAATAATAATATACAAAAATAGAAATTCTACTTCTATTTTTAGCTTATTTATGCGTCAATGTTTTTCCGCAAAGCAACATAAATATCAGCAACACATGAGAAACTCGATTAGTTTTGCTGAAGCTAAGAAACACGAATCAGCTTTTAGTTGAAGCCAAAAAAAAACGTCAAAGGAAGACAATTCTTGGACGAGGGACATTGACTAACCATGGCAGCAAGCAATGGATWCACAAAGACATTTTCAACTCAGTTAGACACAAGGCCAGTCAAAAACACATGTCCGTACTGCACTTCTGCACAACAGCGAAAGAAAGCCATCATGATTCGCATCGTGGTGAAGAAGTTTAATGACGATGACGAAGAAATTGACTCACTTTCGAAGGAGTGTTGTTACGACCATCAAGAAAGAGGAGAAAAAAGTCTAAGAGAACAACTGATGTAAKGCTGCTGACCTCGGAGAATTGTGAACATGAAAGCCAACTACACAACAAAAYGTAAAACTAACAGGAATGCTAGAACTCATAATAACTTTCATTAATCCATAACGGCTAAGAATCAGTTTGTACCTCAAGATATCGTAGCGAACAGTAATTTTGTAACATTGTAAAACAATTTGACATACAATGCACTCCATGAAAGAAAGCATTGGTCGGTTTGAATGAGGCTTATACGTCACGTGTTTATTCTACAATATACTTATAACAGCCTACACGTAACCCTTTTCAAGTATACTTCAAAAGCAAGTAAACATTTTTTTATAAATACGCTTGGTTAAACCATAAATATTTTTGTGAACAAGAGTTTTGTATAACAATCTCTACGTTACACAGGGTTCGTGCTACGTTTTGTTAAGCACAATTGATTTTCAAGGACTGTTTTTAAGTCTCGGTTGATGTTTTTCCACATTCTACCTACTACTTAATAGAAAATCTTTTTACTTTTTTAAAAAAGTTTAAACAAATTGCAGGTTGCATCAAATTCATGGAGTATTTTAGATGTTTTAGCATTTTTTCTGATTTTATAGGGCTTTTCGTTCAAGAATTTTTAAGCTCCATGGATTCTCAATGCTTTCAAGGAATAGCACGAACCCTGTTCATATCTAAAATATGTACAACTGTTAGATGCACTTTTGAAGAAGATTGATCTTGTAGAAAACATGCATGTATAACGATGTGCAAATAAATAAACGCTTTACTATTTTACAAGCTCTATTATCTACAGTTCATATCAAGAATCGTTGATCAACCATTGTCTTTCTAGCTAGATTTCTTCTCCCCATACTGTCTCGAATAGCTGCAAGTACCTTACTAATGATGTACGTCAGGATCCCAGCAAGAATATAATCCGTCGCAATAAAATCAACCACAGCAAAAACCAACAAATCAAACAACATCAGCGTCCATTCATGTCCATAAAACAGCACTGAATTAAAGGACTTTCCGTCGTCTTTGTAGAATATAGCTTTATCCAACGGCTGCTCKCGTACTTCTATATTAAAGATCCTTTCAAAGAGGAGCTTATCGTAGACTAGGTAGTCCATGTCACGCAGTGAGTGGTCGATGAAGCCAGAAAGAAATCTATTCATTGCCATGTAAGATTGGATACTTCGTTCAATCGCGATAGGAAGGCTGCCTTGACCACCAGAGCCTGTCAAACATACATACATCGTTAGTCTACTTGCTATCTGGAAGGTCAGGGTTCGAATCCTGTTATGTATGTGGACTGAGAAGGAGTTACTGACATGGATTTTTTCGAGCCTGTATCCTGGTAATCCTGATGTACAATCATTGTACCGCTGGTCAGGATAGTGGCTTTGGCCGACCCTTATCTACAATCTAATGCAAAATAAACGGAACACCCTGCCCCCTCCCCCCACTGCAAGGTTGTACACACATTCCTTTCCTCATCTTGGTGATTTCCTAGCATTTAATTGACAAACAACATTGTGAAAGGGGAGGGGAGATTTCAGTAACCATGGACCGTGAACCCCCCCTCCCCTCCCCCAATAATTTTCAACTTTTAAATAGATTAGTTAGTTTTTATGTACTCATACTCATTAAATAGGTACTCTGACTATTCACTGTTTATTTTCACAGTACCCCTAATAATCTTTTGCTTCCACCTTTCATGAGTACCACAATCATAGACGGTGTTCACACAATCTTGTAAAAGTTCTAGCCTCCTTATGTGAGCACTTCATTTAAGTAAGAGCGTGGAACAACAGATAATGATTTTTCCATATACATATATCTCCTTAAGGTTTAATGTTTAGTGCATCAACGAAAATTCAAGCAAGGATTATGACTTACCTCCTGATGACGCAGGGATGTTTCTTCGCTGTGCCTGCTGGTCTCTCTGACGTAGTGGTTCAACGACTTGGTTATACTGTTGTCGRAACTTGTGCGGCAGCCCAACCTCGAATGTCTGATGCTCAGAGTTCGGTTCCAGGCCTCTCTGYCCACACAAGTCTTCTTCTTCTCTCTTCATCTGTTCGTTGATCTCTCTCATGTTAGTATCAGCCCGTCCGTGTACAGAACGSCCATGTATGTAGTAACCAAACAGAGTATTTTCCATGATGAAGATACTGACATTTCCCATG